CCCCAAAACCCCAAAACCCCAAAACCCCAAAACCCCTTGTTTCATGAATATAAAAACAGTATTCTTCTAAATTCTAAATAATTTCAAAGCGGGAAAGGAACTTAAGATGTCATCAGAATCCCTCAGGCCAAAATATCTTACCAAAAACAGCATCAAAACTCTTGTGGAGAGTGAGGATCTTCAGAAGCTCCAGACCATGCATCCCATATTGCAGGTAATCTCAGTGAAGGATATCTCTAAGAAGAAGAGCATGAAGAGTAAGCTTCAGCTGTCTGATGGCACGCATAAAATCACCTGTATTGTTAGCAAATAAGAAAATCATGCTTCCTTTGGATGATTTAAACATAATTTGTGACAAGATAGATGAACCAATCGGAAAGCCTAGAGAATATGTTGCTGGCGAAGACTTTATAAGGGATTTTGAACCTGAAATTCCTTACAGAAACAATGTTGCAGAGATCAAGGAGGAAATAGATCAAGAGCTAGAACTTAACGACAGTGATGTAGAAATGGAGCCACATGAGAAGCCGCCCATAAAGCAAGAGAAAAGTCATTCGATCAAAGAAGAGATCAAAAATGACTCTTCTGAAGTATCAATAGAAGAAACTAAAGAAGAGAAGACTCCTGATAAGCAGCAGGTTATAGAAGAAAATAATCAGGAAGATGACTAGGAAGACGATTATAAATATACCCCTATAAAAGCTCTGTCTCCGTTAAATTCTGACTGGATCATCAAAGCTAGGATTTGCAAGAAGTTCAATGCCAGAGAGTGGTCTAATAGCAGAGGATCTGGAAGACTCTTAAATATTGAACTAATCGATCGAATGGGCTCTAAAATTCAAGCAACTTTCTTTAACAAAGCAGTGGATAAATTTGAGGGTATGATTAAAGAAGATAGAGTATACACTTTCCGTAAAGGGATGGTGAAAGCTGCAAATAAGAAATTTACTACTATAAAAAACGATTATTGTTTAACATTTGGTCCTTTCTCAGAAATCATACAAACAGAGAATGATGCTAAAATTTCAAGAAATTCCTTCCAGTTCACGAAGCTGAGTGAAATAATGAAAAATGAATTAGCAATAACTCAAACAATGAAGACTCAAAAGTTTCAGTGATTAGATTTCATTGGAATCATCACATCAGTTGGAGAAGTGGACTCGATTAACCTTCGAAATGGCCAGCAAAAAGATAAACGTGACTATGAAGTCGCAGATAACAGCGCTGACGGAGGTCTTAAAGTCACTGTTTCCATCTGGGGGCCTAAAGTGTCATCTTTAGAGTTTGACGTTGGACAAGTTGTTGTTATCAAAGACCTCAAAATCAGCCCTTATAAAGGAGTTTGTCTCAATGGAAGTGATACTAACTTCTTCAGTGACGCTACCTCTTTGAGACCCAAAGAAACTTCATCTCTGAAAGCATGGTATAGAAAAGTTTTCAAGCCACTTCTTCTTTAAGAAATGTAAAACTCATAAAAGAGATTGAAGACAGATACTATGATGATCTTGCTCTTGACTCTAACATTAGATACTATATAAACGCAAGAGTTGAGTTGATCAGAAATGATCCGAAAATGGTATACATGGCTTGCCCAACATGTAGGAAGAAGCTCTACGAAGAAGACACTAGCAGATCTATGTATAAATGTGAGAAATGAGATATAACAACTAATGAACCAGTCCCCACCTATTTCATTTCTGTTAAATTCACAGATGGAACTGGCTCTCTTTGGACTAAGGTTTATGGAAATAATGCACTTGAAATCATGGGAAACACTCAGCCTGATGAGCTTTTTAAAATGTTTCAGAACGAAGATGATGAAGAGAATGATGATGTTAGGAAGTTTCTCAACACTTTGAATTTCAAAGAGTACAGTGTGATGATAAGACCAATCATCAACAATTACAATGGCCAAGAGTCTCTTAACTACCTTGGCTCAAATATAAAAACATATAGCCCAGAGAAGAACAATCATTTCCTTCTCCAAAGACTGAGTCTTTATCAGGACCTGTAGAAGGCTTGGATCATGGCTAGTCTTAAAAATAACCTAATTTGGTACAAAGCCAAAAAAGTTCAACATTTACCACTAAAAGAGGGGTTTTGGGGTTTTGGGGTTTTGGGGTTTTGGGG